TGAGCTGGTCACATCTTTCCTCAGCATCAGCCAAAGCATCAGCTTCCTGGTCAGAAAATAACAGTTTAAGGGATATGTTTCTGAGGGAATATCGAGATGCTTACCTTCATAGTTTAGAGTCCTGGATTGTAATTTTGTATTTAAAATTTGGTTTATGTTCCAACAGAATGAAATATAATATAGAATCGCTTTATATTTTTGTCTTTGAAACAGATAGTTTTTAAAGCTAAAACTAAATAAAATTCTTTCCAATCTACATGAACGCCTGAATATTTACATATTTGTGCAAGGTATAGAATCCAATATGATCCCATAAAATCAAACATTAGAATAAAGTCCATAAATTTTAGTTTAATTATAGGGATATCTCCCACATTTATGAAGAGCTGAGTGATAACCATATGCCAAGTTAAATATAAATACTGAAGTCACAGTTATGCTCACATCATTCCTGTATTTCTCTTTTTGTACCCTACTGTCTTTTTGGAGGAACTGTTTCTGATTTAGGTTTTCAACACCATGGCCCAAAAATACTCAGCACCTAAAAGCTTTGGCTTTTCTGATGAGACCCTCATCAGCTAAGGATTTGCTGGAAAACTTGTCTCTATACTTTTTCTGCAACAGATGCCCTGTAGTATTTGTTATATTTTTTTTTGAAGTTTCAGTCTAGCAGAAATAATAAAAGAAAGAAAAATAATAAATTTAGCAGTGAGTGGGTTTTTTCATCTTTTTACATTTCAAGATTCTTTAAAAAGGGGTGCACATAAATTTTTCTATATGTCCTTTAGGCTGCATAGTATAATAACTTCAAGGGTACAGTCTTTTCTAACCTATGAATGACTTAATTTAGAAACCATAGCATTACAAAACTGCAGATGTACCACATAAATTTATGTAATGTTTCTGCATGATTTAGGAGGGTGAGTGAGAATATTAAATTCTTTTTCCTCTCAGTTTAGTATTACAACATAGTAATCTTTGTAATACCTAAGCCACCACGTACACCGTAAAGAAACAACTTACCTTGTTTCATTGGAGAAAAAAAAGAGGGAAGAAATGTCCTCTTAACTTGTCCTAAGAATTCCTAATTATGTGTGTATAAGGATAGGCATACTCACTTTTGGAGAGGTAGGAAACAATTATTAGAAGAACAAATATTATACTAATAAAAGTAAAGTTTCTTGATTGTTTTGATGCAGTTTAACTCCATGTAAATGATAGAGACCTCAGCATACACCACAGAAAAGTCTATAATGTAATAGCTTGACTGCAGCCTCCTGACAGTCCTTATTGAAGCTAGTTATGTTTTTAAGAGCACCACTTAATGAAATACAATTGACTTGAACTAAATTGTAGTTTCTATGTGTCTTTTGAAAATATGGTTGTAAATATCAGCCTGATCATCACAGTTCAGTTAGGATGAGGCACACTGGTAGTACTCACAGCCTGCACTTGGAGCTGCAGGTCATTTTTCTCTTGTACCAGTTTCACCATTTTCTCCTCCAGCTCCTTCCTCTTTGCCTCAGACTTTGCAAGCTCTTCCTTGGTTTTCTCAAACTCTTGTTTCATGTTGGCCATCTCCTTCTCAGATTCTGCACTCTTCAGCAAGGGCTTGATCTTGAAGAACAGCTTCATCCAAGGCCAGTGTTTGACATTCATGAATGCACGAATATTGTACTGGATGCAGAAAATGGACTCCCTGAAAGGTAAGTCATTAATATTAAATATTTAGACCATGATGACACAATAAGCCAAATACAGTGAACCTAATTTGAAGAAATGTTTACCTCCTCTCCACCATTCTCTGGTACTCCACTCTCATCAGGAAGCCCCTGCACCTGGCCTGTGTGCGGGTGATGAGCTGTGCCAGCTTCTCATCTCTCATCTCTTCCAAGAGGCCTATCAGCCCAGCTTTGAAGAACACCTTAGGTAAGAACAGGAAAATATGTGCAGTGTATGTGCTTCTTGTTCAGTGTAGCCCAATACCCTGTCCCTCCTGGCAGATAATATGGGAAGTTAAGAGAAAGAGCAAAAGCACAAAGAATGTATGTAGCGATAGACCCTCTTTTATACCTCCAAGCTTCCAGTTACCTGCAGTTGAGGAACTATAATAGCCAGACATTTTTACTTTGTTTTTGTTAACCTTGATTCTTTTATTCTACATCTTTGTTTTAAATTAGGAACTCTTAATTACCCCTTAATTAAATCATCCTATGGCAATTAATTTCAGTTATATTCAAGGGCTGAGTCAGTAAGTACTTATTTGCTTCCTTTTAAATACATTATTTGGTCATTTCAAATGCTATCTGGAGAATCTGAGTATCATTCTCAAACCATGCAAACCAAAACCACATAGTACTTGAAACAAACAGTTCTTGTACCTTGGTGTGACCAAATTTGTATTGAGTGTGGTCTATATCAATTGATCCAAGGAGCTTCTCACAAGCCTTCTTGCTGTCAATGAACTGTCCCTCTGGGATAGCACTTGCATTTAACACTTTGTATCTGGGGGAGAAAATGGAAGGACTTGCATTGGACTCGATGATCTTAAGGGTCTTTTCCAACCTAAATGATGCTAGGACTATAAAGAGGTCTGTTGTTGAGACTGTTTCTTGCACTGCAAGAAAGAGTCTAAGAACTGTTGAGCACATGACAGTGCTGCTAAATATAAACTTTAGAGAATGTTCTTGTCACCGGAGGTGAAAAATTTCACAAGCTACTCAAGATGGACAAAATGATCCAGTACAGGGAAGAAGTCTGACCTCTGTTTAAAATCTGCATACAGGACTCTGTTGGGAAATCCCTTCCTGCAAATTCTGATCCCTTCCAACACGCCATTACACCGCAGCTGGTGAAGCACCAGTTCATGCTCCATGGCACCTAGCAATTCAAATACAAATACATGCTATATTCTGTAATATAGAGAGGAAGAGCTGCACTATACTAAAAACTTTCTATATGTGAGTCTCTTACCAGGTGTTTTTGTTTCATTTGGGATGATGCAGCGTACAAAATGGGGATGGGTGCTTCGCAGATTGGTCATCAGCTTGTTTAAATTCTCCTGGGAGAGTCATTAACAAAAGTTTATATTAGCAAATGTAATTTCCACTATAAGCATCAAGCCCTCTGAAATGAGAGAATGAGATATCAGACAAAAATTAGCTTCCAGAATCCTGAACTGAAGCCCCCTGCACCAGTTTTTCTGATTTTCCACAGATCTTCGCTTTTACTAACTTAATGTATAAAGTTCTTCTGAGTAATCTGTAGGAAGTATCATAATCTTAAACATACAATTTTAATACATTTCACTGACTCTGGTGGAGTGCCTTCATTAGAAATTATATTCATCTTCCATTAGATGTACCCAGAGATATAAACTGATACCTCTACCACACTAGGCATTTAAGATGGGTTATGGAATACACTAAATAGAACCTTCCTGTTTTCCCCACTAAAAGAAAAAGGAACAAAAATGACAAGCTGAGTTTTAGATATCTAGATTGCATGTTTACCTTGTAAGGTAAGATGAGAATAAGGTGAGATGAATCCAGCCTTGTTTTATAATTAATATCTGTATACTTATTTATAAATAATTATTGCCTATAATTAGTTGAGGGAAGCAGGTAGCCCCAGAGGACATCTCAGAGTATGTAAATCAAGCAGCCAAAACATTAAGATGTCTAAATACTTAACATGTCTAAACCAGAGGGGTAGTAGAAGAAAGTTTGAAAACATAATATAAATGCAATCCAAATGCAGCAAAAAATATTTCTCCTATAACATTACCTCTTAAAGTCTTATGACCTTTAAACATAGGCTTATTGCTTATTGCATAATTTTTTGAATGATACATGCTGGCAATAGTTTCCCACTTGCAAGGCTAAAGCACTAAAGCTATGATCATTTTTCTTTGGACATATACACACATGCCCATATCCTGTTTCAGAGCACTAGGTAGAGGCTGTCAGGTGATCAAGAATCAAATGACAGCAGATCTGTAGAAGAAATCAGGCAGGCTGCAAGACTTGGTTATGACAAAGCACTATCAAGTATCTGACATCTTTAAAATCCATAACCCAAGGACTGGCGGTACTTCAACTGTAAGAGACTGATCCCTGCATCATGGAGAAAAACTAGAGATATGAATGGATCAAACAGGTCATCTTCCAGACCAGAGGGCAGAATGTTGTTAAAGGGCAATAAAAGGTTCTGAAGCCAGAGATGGGCATCTGAAGGAAATCTGGTATTTTTAGGTATATATGAGAAGTTTTCTGTATGGCATTTTTCTACCTAGAAATGTCATCCTGGGACAAGTGAACAAAAAGAAAAATTGTGCATTCAGTGGAATGGAGCATAAATAGATTACAGTGGATTTATCCCTACCAAAATATGGCCCAAGAACTTCAGGGTCTTTTAACAAAACTAAGCCAAAAAAAGACCAGCCATTTTAAATGGTAGGTTTACTCCTCATCTTAGGAAGAAACAGTAAACTCTCTACCATACCCGGAAAAGGGCTGAGACAGTCTGGAAAGAAGAACCCTTCTTCTTGCCACCTTTCTTACCAGCACTAGCCTCTGAAAAATTCAAAATAAATAAAACAAGTTTTAGATTTTCGCTTTTGCCTTTTATGTTTCCTTTTTGTAAGGTGTACATCAGTGAAAATATGGAATTCATAGAACCAACCTGCTTCTGCTCCACCATAGTTGGCAAAGAGTAAGGCCAATGTTTTCAGTGATGATTTCTGGTACAACCCAATGACAGTTTCGTTCAGAGGGTCCTTGTTTTTTTCCAGCCAGCCAGTGATGTTGTAGTCCACTGTGCCAGCATAGTGGATCAAGGAGAAGTGTGCCTCAGTCTTGCCTTTGGTAGGCTTGGGCTTCTGGAAGTTGCCGGACTTGCCCAGATGCTGGTCATAGAGCTTGTTCTTGAAAGAGGTGTCAGTTGCCTTGGGGAACATGCACTCCTCTTCCAGGATGGAGAAGATGCCCATGGGCTGGGAGAAATGCACAAAGGAGGCAGATTGTAATTACTTTTTAGAGTGATAATGACTTTTACTTAGGCAGAGTAGTGGAACATAGACTGAGATACAATCAGAAAAGATTATCATTCAATTACATTTTCTGCTAGAAAGTGAGATTAAACATATTCATACTTACATTTTTTAACACCAAATGAATAGTAAAGATTAATGAAAATTTATTTGGTTTATGTTGAGAATGTGCTTTATAAAGTCAGAGCACTACCTTCTTATCCAGAGGGACTCAGAGCACACACAGATATTTTAGACAAATTGAACATGAGTCAACAATACACCCTTGTGGCAAAGGCAATCAACTCATCCTGGGCTGCAATAGGAACGTTGCCAGCAGCTCAAGGGAGGTGGTCCTTCCCTTCTGCTCAGCTCTGCTGACAGCCATCTGGAGTGCTGTGTCCAGTTCTTGGCTACCCAGTACAAGAGAAACGTGGATGTAGTAGGGTGAGCCCAGTGACAGGCCACAAAGATATTTAAATGACTGGAATATCCGACATACAAGAAGAAGCTGAGAGAGATGGGACTGTTCAGTGTGGAACAGAGAAGGCTCTGAGGATGTACAAATAGGTGTATAAATACCTAATGGGAGGGGATAAAGAAGACAGAGCTAGAGACTTCTCATTGTGTGTCTAGTGACAGGACAAGATGGAACAAGCCTGAATTGAAATACATGAAATTCCATTTAAACAGAAGAAAAAAGCTTCTTTACTGTAAGGGTGATCAAAAGTTGGAACAGGTTCCCTAGAGTATCTGTGTAGTCTCCACCCTTGGAGGTATTCAAAATCCAACTGGAAATGGTCCTGAGCAACCTGCTCTAGCTGACTCTTCCTTGACCAAGTAGGGTGGACTAAGTGATCTCCAGAGCTGCCTTCAAACCTCAGCAGTTCTGTGACTCTAACTACTTATCATCCTGCCAGCCACTGAACTTTTTCTATCATGTGAAGTGCGACTGCTGCCTTATTGTCAGTCAAAGGATGTACATGTAAGCGCGACTGTGCGCTGACAGTTATGTATGTCCATCTTCTATGTTAATTTTACAAAGATACAGTTATTCTGCTGTACAAGCACAAGTCTGTTAGAGCTGAAAGGGGAGGAGGACATGCTGACCTGGAAATTGACTCTAGTTGTTTTGGAAGAACACTCTTATTATGACTTTAACAATCTTTTGGCACTTGAAGAGACATCAGTACAGACTTGCTGCCACAAAGCTGTGTGAAATGTCCTTCATGTCTCACTTGACAGAAAAAATAAACTACAGAGCAAGGTATTTTGAATAATAAAAGCTGAATATTTGGACATGAACACAGAAGATGCCTTTGAAAAATGAGACCAAGTAATTATAGAATTTCCACACGTATAATGCATTTGAATAGGAAGGATACCTTCTCAATGAGCTCAATGCAGGCAGCTAGGTCCATCCCAAAGTCAATGAATGTCCATTCAATTCCTTCCTTCTTGTACTCCTCCTGCTCCAGCACGAACATGTGGTGGTTGAAGAACTGTTGCAGTTTCTCATTGGTGAAGTTGATGCACAGCTGCTCAAAGCTGTTAAACTGGAAATAAAATAAGAAATACCCATATTTGCAAGATGCAGTGATAATTACAAAACCTCATCCTTTAAAAATAAGGAATGCAGTTATCTTGGCTTCATTGTCAAGCCTGTGCATTTCTTCAGTCTGCTTTCCATCTACATAGTGAAAAAGAGAAATGCATCATATTAGTTGTCCACAAGGATTTTTTTCTTTTAATTGATAAAAATGTGAAGATAAAATATATTTCCTGTATAATCTGAGGCCAAATTATAGGGAGAAAAAAAACAAGCTTAGGCCTATCATGATATACATGGTTTTGTACTGTCTTGTCTTTGACCATTTAAACCAAGGAATTTTTCTGCTTGGACCATTCTGTACTTTTGAGTTTGCACATCTTGGAATAATACAAGTGCTTTGAAAGGTCATCTTTTACTTCATGACAAAAGAAAGGCAAATAGCTGCAAACAATTATATGATGGCATTACATCGTCTTTAAAAATATGTCTCACAGTGATCATAACATCCAGTTGTCCTTTCCAAATAGCTCTTAGCAAATCTTTGTTACTTACATCAAAGATCTCAAAGCCAGCAATGTCCAGCACACCAATGAAGTACTGTCTGGGCTGCTTCGTGTCCAGCTGTTGGTTGATACGAACAACCATCCACAAGAACATTCTCTCATACACCGCCTTTGCAAGAGCACCTACAGCATTGTGCACCTATAAGAAAAATGAATGTCTGGAGTTACCATACAGAGCAGAGGAGAATCAAAAGGATATTAATTCAAAACACAGTTCCAGGTAACTACATCTTTCTTACCTGTTGTGCAGTTTGACCTTTGGTCACGTATTCATTCCCAACCTTGACTCGGGGGTAGCACAGTGCCTTGAGCATGTCAGCTGAATTCAGACCCATAAGGTAGGCAGCCTTGTCAGCAACTGAATGGAGGAAAAAGGAAGAGTTTAGTGTCACATAGACTTTGAATCCCGGAGTATTCTGTTCTTTGAAATCTTTTGATAGACTGTCATAGAGGGAATCTCGGTAACATCAAAGTCATCATTACCCATATTGAGCTTTTGTAAAAGAATTTATGTTTTAAAGTCTTCACTGAAGCATGTAGAAAGTAATGTTTTCAAAAATGTCCTGACACAAAATTAAAAGGTGCAGCTTGCCAGTCTGAAAATTTGTAGTGCATGCTCAGGACCTGCGGTGACAACGGTCAGGTACTGATCTACATTCATAGAATCATAGAACACCAGGTTGGAAGGGACCTCAGGGATCATCTGGTCCAACCTTTCTTGGCAAAAGCTCTGTCTAGACAAAAGCACAGTCTAGACAAGATGGCCCAGCACCCCGTCCAGCGAAATCTTAAAAGTGTCCAATGTTGGGGAACCCACCCCTTCCCTGGGGAGATTTGTCCAATGGCTGATTGTTCTCATTGTGAAAAATTTTCCAGTAGCATCTAATTGGAATCTCCCCATGCATAACTTGTATGCATTACCCCTAGTCTTTTCCATGTGACTCTGTACAAAGGGAGTCTCCATCTTCTTTGTAGCCACCTTTTAAGTACTGGAACATGGATGAGGTCACCCCTCAGCCTTCTTTTCTCAAGACTGAACAAACCAAATTCTCTCAGTCATTCCTTTTATGGCAGGCTTCTCAGTCCTTTGATCATCCAGGTGGCCCTTCTCTGGACCACCTCCAGCCTGTCCACATCTTTTTGGTCCCCCCCCCGTACGGTGGGGACCAAAACTGAACACAGTATTCCAGGCATGGCCTGATGAGTGCTGAGTAGAGCACTACTCTTTCAGGTGATCAAAACCACCCAATATTCAGGGTGGAACACAGAAAGGATATCTCTGTTTTCTTTCAGATTCAGAGTCTACAACCCTTTCTGAGCTTTGGTTTCTGATTTTCAGTAAAAGTCACTATGTTTCAACCTTTTACCTAAGGTACTTCCCATCTTCTGCCTAGTCCTTTAGCAAGAGGAACCATTGTTCAGAGAGATGGAGATGTGGGTTGTAGGTCCTGGCCAATAAAGGAGAGGAATCAAATATACCTCTCACACCAGAGTTCCCTGAGTGTCCGACAGGGGAGGGTGAATGGGAACATGGTCACCCCATCCTATTAGAGCTGAACCACTTGGCTGTTTCACAACTCCAAGTCATATTCCAACAAAGATATGACTAATAAAGTTACAAGAAAGACATCCATCACTCCTGACATCCTGGAAGTGTATAAAGGAGATTTTAAACTATAAATTGCTCACAGCATAAGATACAAAAATCCTGAGATCAGTGAACTTGGTGTACTGAGAAGAAGACAAGGGACAGGTTTTCTCTGGCTTACTGTTTTCCTTCAGTTCCTAAAGTCCAACAAACAACAACTTTTGCTGCCTTCCACATCGATAGTGGCTTACAGAAGGGTTAATTATTGAGTTTGATAATACCTTCTGTGCCATCAGGCTCTGCCTGCTCCTCTCTTGGTTTCTGCTTGAACTTCAGGTTCCCATAGTGCATAACAGCTCCTGTCAGCTTGTAAATGGCAGTCTTTTCCTCAGCAGTAAAACCCAGGATGTCAATGGCACTCTGGAAATACAAACAGCAAAGTGAAATATTTGCATGTTATGTGATGTATGACCTGTGCCTATTGACCTGTTTTGTAAGTTACTTACATCTGTAGCCATCAGCTCCTCCTTGTCATCAATGCTGGGAACAGTGATCTCACCTTGACTTACAAAAGGGTAGTCATATGGGTTGGTAGTGATGAGGAGCATTTCTGAAAACAGATGAGTTCATGGGTTAAATTTTGTTGATTTTGTAATTTAGTTAAATGTTGTTCAGGGATCTTCCTCCAAAAAGCTCAGTGATGCCTCCTACCAATTAGCTCCGGCTTCTTGTTGGAGGTGACCTGATAAAATATGTGGTAGCTTCTTTCTGCCTTGAGCTGGAAAGTGACTCTGGACTTCTCCAGCAGATCTGTCAAGGAAGGTAGGACAGAGTTAGCATAAGAACTGGGGAGGGTTAGAAGGAATGGGATCAGGCCAGGAGAGTCTCTTACAGGTTTCAATGTCAGCAGAAGCCAGTTTGCCTGTGGCCCCAAAATGGATTCTGATGAATTTGCCCTGTTAAGGAGAAGCAGCAGCATTTCAGCCTAAATGCATTTCATTGCCATCTCCTTATGTGAGAATACCACTAGCCCATCCTCATAACTTAGCCCTCCTTATAAATACAGTTATAATGAGGATGAATTTTGTCTGAAGCAACAACTTACGAAGCGTGAGGAGTTGTCGTTCCTCACGGTCTTGGCGTTTCCAAAGGCCTCCAGCAGTGGGTTGGCGCTGATGATTTGATCCTCAAGCGTTCCCTAGAGGACGATAATTATTGCTGGTTATCCTTTAGAAAAATCATCTCAGGAACAGAGGAAAGCATTGATTCAAGCCACTATCTGTTAATTTACCTGCATTTTGCCTGACTGCTCCTCCTTCTTCTTATCCCCACTCGCTGCAATTGTTGCAAAGTACTGGATGACACGCTTTGTGTTCACAGTCTTCCCTGCACCGGATTCTCCGCTGTCAAACCAAAGAGAGAAGCAGAGAGCATGTGGTCAGGCAGGAGGTCCCCTGGCACCAGGCAGCCCTGCAGGGACCCGAGCAGGGGTGTACATACGTGATCAGGATGGACTGGTTCTCGCGGTCTGTGAAAGGGGCCGAAAGAAAGATACTGTTAGCAGTTGACCTGGGTAACACTCAGCTGAATGAGAAGTAAAGCTATAAATGGAAGTTGGGGCTTCTTCAGAAAGTCCAAGAATACCCAATTCCCTTCCAGGTCCTAACCATAGTAATTATAAGCCAAAATGAATGCATAGATCTGTCAGAGGCATGGGGTCCTGAGGCAAACTGTGCATCTCCTTACCCTTCACACAGTTCTCATCAACAAATCTAATCAAACTGCCTATCTGTGTCCAAAATAATGGATTATATGGAATAATAACTTTTTCTTTCCTATTAGTGAAAAAAAGTAGCAAACTGAGTCAAGTATTATTTCTGCAGTGGGAGAGTGTACAATTTTGTACAATATAGTGCAAATAATACATAGTGCTCAGTCCATGCATGCTTCTGGGTCAGTTGCACTTGAAATTAATTCCTGCATAACTCAATCAAGTTCTCAGTCATACAACTCTGTGGTGTTTTTAGCTGGCTTGTCACATGCTCCAGTGGGGCTTTTTGTTTTATATTGCTGTGAGGAAAGTCAAGCACTCACCAGTCAGCATGAACTGATAGGCATTGTCAGAGATGGAGAAGATGTGTGGAGGGGCCTCCTGGCGCTTCTTGCCTCGGTAGGCCAACACCACCTCCGGGTTGTACACCGGCAGCCACTTGTAGGGGTTGACAGTGACGCAGAAGAGACCCGAGTAGGTCTGCGAGGAAGGGAGACAGCACGTTGGCTTCCACTTAGCCTGGCAGAGCAGTTCCTCCTAGCTACCCAAAGGAAGACTGCTGCTGGTACTTACGTAGATCATCCAGGCTGCGTAACGCTCTTTGAGGTTGTACAGCACAGCGGGTTCGTGGAGGTGGGTCATCATGGCCATGTCCTCGATTTTATCGTACTTGGGAGGGTTCATGGCAAAGACCTGATCTTCCTTCACGGTCAGGGTCTGCCAAGGAAATGAACAATCCACGTATGTCAGCTAAGAGCTGAGATTGGGAATCAAATGGTGTCCTTCAGCCTTGTTTTTCACTCACCTCTCCAGCTTCAGTCTTGACAGTGACCTTCCCTGATTCCCTGCTCTGGATTGTCCCTTTCACAAAGGATTCCTTAGGATGGGCCACAAAGACGGATGTCTTGGCATCGAAAGGCTTGTTCTGGGCTGCAATTCTTTCCTTTTCTGACTTTCGGAGATAGGGTGCTGCCTCCCCAAAGACGGCCATCTCGGCATCTGCAGAGGCCATGTCTGCACTTTACTGAAGGTATGTCAGCAGAGGACTCTAATGGGGAGGAACAATATAGCACTGATTATTTACATGTATTCTCTAAGACCGGGAAAAAATTTATATCCTGTGCCTTGGTTTCTCTTCATACTCTGAGTATTTGGAACATCTCACGTGTACAAACTAGAGACTTAATTTTTAGGTCAACCTAGAAAATAAGAAGTTTTCATTGATGTAGTCTGTGTCTTCAAACATTTAGGAGAGAAACTTTTAATGACCTTTCACAATTGTTTGGTGCTTTAAGAATACCGTGTCTGTAAGATAAGAGTTAATTTACTGACCAAGTTTCACTAAGACATCGCTATTGGGAATGGAAATACAGTTAGCACTTTTTGTTAAAATGATGAACAGTGAAGTAACATTTCTGAAAAACTGTAGTTTAGGTGACCTACAGTCTTGGAAAACGTTGAACCTGTTAGACATTTACCTATTAAATATAATGGTAACAGAAAAGCAGTGGGAAATTAATGGATTTTGCTAATGAAGTTGGCAACTAAAAGAAAAGGACAGTCTGTGACCTTTTTTTCTTCCACCATAACTTAATTCGTTGTATGCATCTGTCATTCTTCAGTACAATATCTAAATAATTTCAGCCCCAAAGTTCTGACGTGGTGGAATAAAATTCAAGCATTGAAATTGGAATTGCCAAGCCTGCATTAAGATCCCAAATAAATACTTACTGGAAAAAATCTAGGAAGGTGAGTTCTCAAAACTTTAAAAAAATAACAATATTTCTTCAGATGCTTTATTAAACATGTAGGTAGCTAAATTTAGGCAAGTGCACTTGAAAATTCTCTAGCTACATTAGTAACATTTATTCCCTCTTTATTCATTAGGTAATAAATATATTTTTGTCTAGAGTAAGAAAATGTGTATCTAAGAGAGCTCTGGCATTTTACAAAGGTGGTTTGAAGGTCTATATGCTCAGGTGATTTTTTAATTCATACATTCTCAGGTAGAATGCAGAATTTTGCACTTTTTCCTGACTGGACCGTCTTGGTCCAGTTCTGCCATAGCAAAGATGGGAAGCCAGCATGCCTCACTCCCTGTTAGGTCAGTGAAGCAGAAGTGAAGAATGTCCCCATGGGGATTTTCTGTCTGCCATCAGTGGTCAGAGACTTCAAACACAGCCACATGAAAATCTTGGGCACCCCACCTCCTTCTACTGTAATCACACTGGGTTTGAATATAGGGTGAAACAGTGCCCATTCCAGAAATCCCACCCAAAAGGACCTTTCTCTG